TTACAATACATCACGGCATAGATCACGGCTACCAGCCGGGGTTACAGCCGGGGTTATTTAACTGTAATACAACTCTACAATGCAATACGAGTGTCAGCCGAGCCTGTCGGTAGTATACTATAGTATACTACAATACATCACGGCTACCAGCCGGGTTTATTTAACTGTAATAAAATACTACACTGCAATATGAGTGTCAGCCGAGCCTGTCGGTAGTATACTATAGTATACTACAATACATCACGGCTACCAGCCGGCAATACGGCTATCAGCCGGGCGTGTCTGTAGTATACTGATAGCCGTATTGCCGGCTGGTACCCGCGATGTATTGTAGTATACTATAGTATACTACAGACAGGCCGGGCTGTTAGCAGTATTGTCGGCTGGTAGCCGTGATGTATCGTAGTATACTACAGTATACTGTATACTACCAACAGGCTTGGCTGACAGCCTGACAGTTGTATTGAATTGTAGTATTGTATTACAGTTAAATAACCCCGGCTGGTAGCCGTGATGTTTTGCAGTATACTATAGTATGCTACAGACATGCCCGGCTTATAGCCGTATTACCGGCTGGTAGCCGTGATGTATTGTAGTATACTATAGTATACTACTGACAGGCTCGGCTGACACTCGTATTGCATTGTAGAGTTGTATTACAGTTAAATAACCCCGGCTGGTAGCCGTGATCTATGCCGTGATGTATTGTAAGTATTGTATTAATTAAAGAGTAAATACGGCTCGGCTGCTGCAGTGCTATTGTACCCTTGGCCGTGTACAATGGTGACATGGTGTACGTATTTACGCAATCATAAATCGCGCTGGCTAAGAATAACTTGTGTATATATAATTAATTAACATATTTTCCGTGTAAGGCGTGGTAGCGCAAGGGGACAACACTCAGCGTGTGTGCTGAGGGTCGTGAGTTCGAGTCCGGAGTGCCCGCAAACGAATTTGAATTTTTCTTTTTGCCGAAATTGTTTTTTTTTCTCGTTTATTTACCTGTCGCATAGCTAACTATATGCATTGGGAAGATGAATATAGATGCATTTCGATGATTTTCGGAAAATTTAATGTAATTTTGGTCGTTTTCTGCTTATGAAACATTCTAGAACCAGTCTCCGAAATGCGCGCATTTTTTGAACGAATAGTATACTATAGTACAGCCCGGCTGGCGGCCGAGCAATCGGAGACAAAATTTCCGGCTGTCAGCCGACGTCAAACGCGCTAATCGGGTGACTGTGAGCCATTTTGTTTATTTTATTTTCGCGCGCTTTTGGGTTTGAGTTGTTGGCCGCGCCGGGGCTTGGGCACGACAGCATCCAATAATTTTTTTTGGATGCAAGTTCGATCAAAAAAAACAATTATTGGACGCTGAGCACGTCAGCAGCTGAAATTACGTAATAAGTACCGAATATTGAGAATTATCCGGTGCTCTCTGGCCAATCAGGAACGAGAATACATACTAAATGTATAATAATGTTAATTCTTTGTATTTTATGAAGTAGTCTTGCATTTGGAGGCAAAATTTTGAGGCCGTAGCAAAAGGGGGGGCGGGGGGGGGGAGGCTGGGTGGCTGCAGGCCCCCCCCCCAATAATATGCTAATAATGATTATTTTTCCAAAATCATGCAGACCTTTATCATTTAACCCGTGACAAAATGCAAAGAATGAAGGTATTACCCATACTTTCCTGCAACTGATTCAATATATAGTTAATTAAATACGCCTTCGCCCATTTAGTACTACTAAATTGTAAATTTCAACATACTAAAACGAATTCTATCAAATCTTCCCCCCAAATCCAGGAAATGGCATTTCAGAGACACTAAATTAAAAAATTTCCTCGGGCCTTCGGCCCTGGCTTTCAGCCTCCTCAATCGAAAAGAGTTTCCTATGGCCCTGCAAATAAATAAAATTGTACTTCTGACCACTATTTTGAAACGCTGTTATAGTATTCCAAAATTACCTTCAACAGGCAGATTTATCCACCGGGTAACAGAAGCTCCATATTGGTCCTCACATCTCACTAAAATCTGCAAAGACTTGGAGGAACCGAGACTTTCATAGTCAGTACTCGTTGGTCCAACCACGAGAGTAATTGAAATCAAATTGACACGATCATTACTACTGTTCAGAAGTCTACACGAAGCTCTTGTATTGCTATCCTGGTCAATCATTTCAACCTGACTGATGAAGACATTTACACCACTATTCTCAGGAAGTTTTGCATCTGCCTGAAGTCTGATGTCAGTTGGTGGGTCATTCACGTCTAAAAGAAGTCAAGAACTGATAGTCAAGAGCTACCCATTAGTTTTGTTTAGGTTTCCTCCTGCAGTAACACTGGACGAATAAGGACGAGCCATCCTAAGCAGATAAGTTTAGAACTGAACAATAAACCAAGCTACAGTTTAGTATATATTCGAATTTTAAACAAACCTTGAACAGTAATCGTAAATATCTTTTCCAAGTGTAGTCCACCGTTATCAGTGACTCGAAGACGAACACTAATACTTGGCGTATGTTCAAAATCAAGTGGTCCATGAAAAAAGAGTTGATCTTTCTTGGTTCCACCAATACGGAATGATTGCAAGTCTCTCACAGTGTAGATAAATGTTTGGTTTATTCCTTCAGGGTCTTCGGCAGATAACGTACCGATGTGGGTCATGTTTGAATCACTTTCGTTAACACTTGTACTTGATATGACAAGAGACGTAGGTCGCTCGTTTACATCTGAAGAGAAAAGTTTAAATGTGTTAGTTATGAAGGTACTTGTGGTTAGTTACATCGTTGCCACAAGCTATAGTTAGATTTGTGTGAATACCTGTGACTTCAATCAGGAGTAATTTGGAAACCCCAAGATTTGTATCTTTACATAATACAGTGATATTATACACTTTCTTTGTTTCAAAATCAAGAATCCTGTTTGCTTTGATTCGAAGAAGATTTCTTTGATTTATTTGTGCGATATAGAAAGCATCTTCATCGCCATTGAGAGAGTTCACAAGGGAACATGTGTGAATTTGAGTCAGTCCATTCCTGTTGTCTGGATCTTGCACCTAGAACAAAAGACAAGATTTTGTTAAATTGCCTCCTTTTAGAGTTTTTCTGGTTGACTACATCGAATAAAGCTAGGAGTATCTACCGAAGAGTTGTGAGTAATATATCTTAATTGAAGGCTCTTTCAAGAGGTCATGTAGAGGGTGACAGAAGTACC